AATGATCAAATTAAGGCTGAGATAAGTATATTAGCAAATATATTATCTGCATCTCAATCTAATTCAACCTGTGACCACTCCAATTTTTCGGAACAGCTTAAAAATCTTCACAGCCCTTTGAGTTTTTTTACGTAAAGTATCCTTAGTAAATCCGCCAGGGAGGTGCTCCATTGTATCATCATACACTTGATTTCTTGCTGATTGATCACTAATTCCTCTCCGAGCATTCTTAATCTCCTCAACCCTCTCTTCATACGCCTTTCCATAGTAATACCAACACGAAATTTCTTCTTGGATTGCTTTCGTAGCACGCGTCTCTGCTCTACAAGCTTTCTGGAAGAGGCGGGCTAAAGTCTTTGGCATTGAAGCTTCCGAATCATCCTCAGCCACTTCATTATTCTCAATAGATTCCCCCCTAACGGGTGTAGATAATTCTTGCAATAAGCCCTGCAAGATATTGTGCTCACGGTTATTATTTCCAGAGGTAACTGATTGTCTTGATGAATGCCTTGGCGAATGTCTCAATGGCCGATTTTGAGCAGTATTATTATTCCCATCATTTGTAGCTGAATCCTGGGAATCATTTCCGCTATTTTCATTAGGTGTATTCTCCAGATTATCTTGTACATTGGCGGAGCGGTTTGATGCATCTGGTGTCCTTTCATCATCATTATTTTCAGAAGTATCATCCTCAATCACGATTGGGCTTGTTGCCTGATCCTGCATAGTGACTTGCTTCGACTGACTCCCTTGTCCAGCACGAGAGCCACCTTCTACCAATCCTAACGAAGTCATGAGCTCCTCATTACCCTGTCCAGTGTCAGTTTGTTTTTTTTGAAGATGATATTTTCCAGAGGCGAGTACTGCCTCTTCTCTAGTCAGCTCAATGATTACATTACACGAAGGGCATGTAAGAGGTGGATCGGTTTCTGCTTGCATAATATACTTCTCAAGACATAGGCGGTGGAAAAGATGTTCGCAATCCAACACAACAAACGATTGAAATCGGAATTTTAGGATTACTCTTTGGCAAATACTGCAAGGATTGAGTTTCGGAATTCTGCTGGGGATAGTTGAGATCTCTTGATTTCGAAGATAATTTAATGCAAGTACTTCGAGTTGGGAAGGCTCAGAAGTATCTGTTTGAATTTCAGAAGTGCCTGTCGAAGGTTCACTGGCTATAGTGGCGCTCGAAGGTTCACTAGCCATAGTGATGAATTGTAAAGATAAAATAAATGCTCCCATGCATCCTCCACACCCGTCTACTTATACAGTTTTCCACTCCTCTTTGATCTGCAGGTGAAATAATAGCCCGAAATTAGTGTGAATGGGCGCACCTATTACGCAAAGGTCCAGGGATAGTTGCAAAACAAGGAAAATCCCAGATCTTCGTTGAAAATCCACTACCGATCACGAATTAAGATTTCCTCCTTAATTGCCCTGCATTAGTGTGTGTACGATCAAACTATCAGCATAAAATAATTCTTATCAATTCGTTCATTACTACTCTGCTATCCATATGCGAAGAGTTAATCAAGGCAAGATTTTTTATTTGCAATACATTGGATAAATTACAAATTAGCGACTTTGCTTATTATACAGTTAAAAGCTTCATACATGATAGTCTATCCTATTCATTGCGTCTATTCTATCACCACCCAATAACCTGCTATATTCATTATTTTCCATCCTAACCTCCGTTTCATCGGTCGTGACGCTAACGAGAGCCTTAAAGGGAAACTATGTATTAGCTGTCTTGCAAATGCTCAGTCTAAACCAAAAGTATCCTACCCTAGGTAATGTCTCGTCCGACATTTCGCTAAGTAAGTTTCGTCTCCATTATTTTCACTGGAACTTTCTCACGTAGCGAATATGCCCGTTCATTTGCTTATTTACATAGTTGCAAGATTGGGTTGCGAAATTCCGTTTACCTGAAAAAAAATTCATACTGTATATGCGACTCGTACCGTCGTACGTCGCACACAGCCCTATTCTTCGGCAAGAATTTTCCTGATTTCACATGACCGGTCTAAGCCACAATCGCGAACTTGAATTTATTGCTTGAAGTGAAGCAAGTAAGATAATATTCTGTTCCATACCATTCGCCATGTAATCCATAATTCCCATGTTTTCCATCACAAATAGGACATGGTGAGCTCCACGGCTGAGGTGATGCAAAATTATAATTATCAATCCCTCTAAAACTATTTCGGAATTTCAAGTATGGGAAGTGCTCTAACACGGATTTGATAATTAACTCTGAATCAGGTTTGACTTCGAAGGTGATAGGCTTGAAATCAGAGGCTTGGCCGGAGGCGCTAAAGCAAGGTTTTTCTGATATACTTATCACGGATTGCCATGGCTCATTTCCAGTTTCTTTTTTATATCTTTTGTATAAATTGGTACGAATCTTATCTGTCAAAACGCTTGGTAACCCACTTAATTTGGCATACCAATCCGGATATTCAGGGATTAGTATTTTATCGGACTTGGTCATGTTGCTGTTTTATATGATCGCAAATCAATTTAAATCCCTTTTTTCTCATATAGACCTATTCGTTCAAAAAAAAAGATTAAAAATTCCCAGATAGATTATCACCCCAAAGAGTTACCCAGACTATTGTAAAGCAATGAGACTATGCAACTATCTCAATTTCGCGCTGTTCACATTTAATAAAATAGGATCCGACTTTATATCTACCTTCTATGCTTTCCTCATCATCATGATCTAAACTGCATAATGGGCACGATGTCTCATTAGTAATGCCATAATAATCGAAATTTTCGCTACTAAATTCTCTATATAAAGTAGGATATTGATCCAATGTTTTGTTGCGAAAATAGGATTGGTCACAGGTTGAATTAGATTGAGATGCAGATAATATATTTGCTAATATACTTATCTCAGCCTTAATTTGATCATT